GCCTCTCCCCCCCCCCCCCCGCGAAGCCCTTTTGCTCCGTCTCCCCTTAGCGCTGCTCGCTGAGCCAGACTAAGGCAGGTCAGGGTCGGTGTGCGCTTCCATACACGGCGAGGGCTACCACGTGGCCTCGTCATCGCCCCCCCCCCTCCAGCCCCCCCCCCCCCCCCGCCGCGCTATATTTGTAAAACCACGGTCCGCCCCCCACCGCGGTCCCCGTGTCTGCTCCCTTCGGACCCCCCCCCCCCCCCCCTCTCCCCGTCCCACTCAACACACGCGGGCCCCATCGCCGCCAGATCCCGCACGCGGCACCCCTGACAATGGGGGTCAAGGTCACGATTCGGCAGCAATCGATGCGCCAATGCATCGAACGCAATGTAGTCGGTCGTCGATGATTAGGGGGCATGTCATTACGTTTGTTTGTTTGATCGTTCGGGAACTCGGCCCCATCGCAACTCAGTCATCACAAGAGAGACAAATATGAGTCTCTGTATACGCCTATGGGTGGCGATGTCAATGGACGAGCGTGTGTCAATGTCGTGGTCTCTCTGTAATTCTACGGCTATGTGGGTGGGTGAGCGGATTGCTGCGTGCGAGTCGTCGGTGGCCGGGCCTGAGACCGTCGTTCAAGTGGCCCCGTTTAATCAGAGACGGGCACCTCAAGCCGATCCCAATTTCAGGATCTCAGCGGCGGCGGCAGCGGCTCAGCCTGCCTGACACGGCCATCATGAACCTGCGAAGCCATCCCACGTCCTGTTTGTCTCCTCGCTGAACCTGACACCGTGACCCCCCTCCCCCGCCACCGCGGAGAGAGTGAGGGGCGGGGCGGGGTGGGGGTAGCGGAGGGGAGGGGGTGGGGGGTAGCGTGTTTCGCCTGTCACATCTGCTGACCATGCGAGCGGGTTGGCAGCACAGCAAGTAGATTGATCGAAATGCCGATTTTGTAAGGATGTTAAGTGGCGTCTCCTCTCCTTAAGAGGTTTTTTTTTGGGGGGGGGGGGGGGTTAGGTCGCGTAAATATATAAATGTGTCGGTAAAACCGCCACCACCCGACACAGCCAATCAGTAAGGTTTGCCACGTAAACAAAACACCTCAATTAGTCCAGCACACCCGTGTGTTGGAGAGTTCATACAATTCGAGTACGACGTTTCGACGTTTCGCCAGTAATTACAACCAGCCTCATCAGGCGGCACTGGTCAGATAACCGCTCACGACCCGCACGGCCTGGGAAGACCCTCATCTAGCAGTGGATAGTCACGTGAGTGCAGCTTGGCCTGAGTCAGGCTCTTCGTTACAACCTCCAGGCGTCTCGACCCACCACCGACCACGCTCCGTCTTTCCGCCCATTCAAATAAAAATTGACTCATTCCACTCCACGCTTCCCGCGCCCGATGATTGTTTAAGGCATGCCACGTGACGCGCTAAGCAACCCGACGCTGCCTGCGTCACGTGCGACACGTGCACGCGCATCACGTGGAACACGCGTGCACGCGCGTAAGGAACACGTGCTGACGCGCGCACGCCGAGCTCTCAGTCTTACGTTGGATCGGCTCTATTTAAACAGACGGCGTTAATTGCTTTCAGCAGGGACAGACTTGGAGTGAGAAATGCTGCTGGGCGAGCAGAATGCTACTGGAAACAGCACTCCGCGGAAACCAAGAGACCCGCAAACAGAAATGACGCGTCGCACGAGCAGCGTTCATTACGCGTGGCCGTGTTTACACTTCGCCTGACCCATTAACCCACGCGTGAAATGGGCTCACCTGCCCTTCTTTGTTTTCCAAAACAAACAACAGTGGAGGGTGGGGGGTGTGGGGGGGGGGGCGCAAGCAACAGCAGATTTCCCTCCCAATACATCCTTAACGTAACGGATTAAGCCGCATTAGGCGCGCGCAATCACGCGTGCTGATTGTCCGGGATTGGAATCGGGGTCGCGTGAATGTAGCTCCCCCCCCCTTTCTCTCCCCCACCCCCACCAGCCTCTCCTTACCACCCGCCCCTCCCCGTCCCCCTTGGCTCACCAAGACTGTCGGGCTGCCCCCACGCCCGCGCTCCCCTTCTTCTTACGCCGCTACCATTAATCCGGGTCCATGATGGCGTACACGCGGTGATGGTTTGTGAACGTGCGCGGGGGACACGAACCGCGTGGAGGTGACACTAATGATTGTGGGGGCGAGGGAGGTTGCGGTGGTGTCATCACCTCAAGAGCTGTGCAGGAAATAAACAAACACGATCATCGTCAGCGGTCACGGTCAATCCACTGCTGGATGAAGGCCTCCTCCTCCCGCAAGTCGTCGCCGTCTCTCACCATCCCGCATGCGATGTCGCAATCCCACCCAGCGCCCTGCACTAGAAATAATTTAAAGGCTCCATCTCCCCACGGTGGTGGACCCGTTTGGGACCCCCCCCCCCCACTCTGCCCCCCACCACCACTCACCCCAAATCCCGGCAATAAAAGAAGGGGGGGTAGGTGCATGGGGGGCTCCCCGCTGGGCAGGGGTCGGCCTCGGCCACGCGGTGCCGGGTGAAATCGGCGTCAGGGGAGAGAGAGACAAAGAGTCGCCAAGAGCCCGGGACGAGCCCGGCCTCGTTCATTAAATAAGCCCCTCCCAGCAATTAGCGAAGCTCGTTACGCAAGTCAGCAGCGGTCGTCCTATGGACAGTCTCGCCGCCGCCGTCGCCGCCCCGGCACAGGAATGTGGAATGGCTCCCAGCGCTGGTTCTACAGAGCTGTACGCAGGGGACTGAGCATCGTCTCGAAGTGAGCGCGATTTCACTTTGGTGACCGTGGCGATGAGCAGAGTGATGGGCGGGCTATGGGGGTGGAGGTTCGAGGGAGGGGAGGTATTGAGATTGATTTGCATTCATCGACGTGGTGGGCCCTGTCTCTCGGTTACAGCGAGTCCTCATTTAACGGCGTAGATGCGTTCCTGAAAAGTGCCACGTTAAGCGAAAATCGCGTTAAGCGAAAAAACACTTCTCCCATTGATAACAAACGATAGAGTTTGGCGAGATACGATGCACGCGCACACAATACGATGGCGAGACAAATCACTTAGGGTATGCCACCGTGTGACTGTGTCATTCTGCGTACTGTATCACACCGCTCAGCCGCGCAGTTCAACAATGTAGTTCGTCGTTAACCGCTCATGAACCGCGTTATAACGGGCGCGTTCCGCGTCGTGCAAAGAGTGTTCCCTGATGTAAGAACTGCGTTCTCACGGAAACGCGTTGTGTGAGCACTTGCCTATTGTATTATATATTTATGTCTTTGACTCTTCCGCTATCCCATGCAATGGTTTGCTCTCGACGTCCACGAAACGAGACGACTCTCGCAATGAGCAGCAACCTTCGTGGCGTGCGGCAGAGAACGCCCCGCGGAAGTTGATGCCACGGAACAGCTTCTGAGAAGCCCTGCCCAGCGACATATCTCATCGACGCACCATGCGGCGATGAACTCTCTCTCTCTCTCTGGCACGCCCTGCTGCGGAGGGGAAAGGAAGATGTTGGTCGCATGGCAGTCAAACTGAAATGCACCGTAAACTCTCTGGACCATAAGGCTCAACCCTGACCCGACGATTGCGTTAAAGCACAGGGGGGCAGGGTGCGTCTTGCAATCGCATTTGTGTGCTGCGAAGAAAGGGACCTTTACCCAAAACGTCGCCTGTTATGTATTGATAATAATAGGTTAGATGTTCATCAGGCCACACACACGCAGACACGCGCAGCGTTGTTGTGTTGGTTATCGACGAAAGTGTTGGCGTGGCTTTGTTCATTGTGTTTTTTCAACTTTGCCAACATAGCAGCAGCAGCAACATCACCAAATAATGTGTTTTTTTATCATCTAGAAAGTACGTGTTTCTGATATTTTATATATAATTCGGCCACTGTGTGTGTGACCAGATTTATTTAACTTTATTGACATCGGGTACACGTTTGGGTGCGTATTATTTTCCGGGGGCGTCTTATCATCCGAACAATACCGGACATCACGTGCAAGTCATTGACGATGACCCCATCGACTCGCCGAAACTGCTCTAACCACTGTGGTTGGACAGCTAGAACCCTGGAGTCGAGCCCAGCATCTCAACGACACAAGGTTCGCATTATCTGACCTTGGTTCCACTTCACGGTGGTTCCAATCTCCGCAGGGCTGCACGTTCCACCGAGCCACCGGTGCTGTGTGCACCCAGCTGACGAGCACTCAAGGGGAACGAGTCCATCAGTGTGCGCGCGTGCAAAGGCTTCAGGGACAAAGAGGCAGTGATGAGACGGTGTTTTGATTCATGTGGAAACAGCAAACACGTTTTTTTTGTCGGCGACGTATTTAGTTTGTTTTGTTATGATGATGATTATTATTACTGCGGATAGTACACGGACGCAAGCGTGTAAACAGGGCGATGTTTTGAGCTCCATGATGATGTCTGACCGGCCCTCGGAGCGATGATACCGTCTGTTTATTAAACATCAACATCCCAATGCAACACTCGCAAATATGTTCTGCTCCGCTCTCAATTTTAATTCCCGGTAGCGGGGAGGGGGGCAGGAGGCGGGGTTAGGCAAGAGAGGGGGGATGGGGTGAGTGAGTTGTGTTTGTGATGGGGTGGATGGGTGGGTCCCAAAACGCGAGAATCAGCGAGACCGATGCTGACTGAGAGAGCGGTGTGGCCCTCAAAGCCACCGCTTGCATCGCATCTCCCACCAGAGAGATCCCCTCCCCTCGGCCCCCCCCCCATATCTCGTGTCCACTCTCCCCACCTACCCGCAACTCACCGCCCCCACCCCTCTCCCCCGTACCCCCCCCCCTCCCTCCCTCTCCACGCAGACTCTGTGAATAGTGTCTGTCTCGTGGCGGCGAGAAACCTGAGCCGGGCTCTGGGCGTGCTTGGCTCTCCGCTTCTGCCCCCCCCCCCCACCGTGTACAGCGAGAGAGCCCCCCCCCCCCCCCCAGTTCCCACCTACCCGAGTGGGTTCCCCAAGCTCCCCGGCTCTCCTCCTAACCCCCCTCCCAGCCTCCCTGCGACTCCCACCTCATCCCTCCCCCTTGGTCCCTCCCAATAGCAGCTCCGCGGGGCACGAGGAGGCTTGAGTCGCGATTGCAAAGCGCCGCGCACGGATCCTCGCTCCGCGTCCCTCCAGCGCGGCCGTGACGGACGCAGGGTCCGGTGGAGCGAGCGAGAGGGGAGGAGCGGGTGAGAGGGTGGTAGGGAGGGAGACGGAGTGAGCGAGCGAGAGGGGAGGAGCGAGCGAGAGGGTGAGTGGGTAGATGATTGGTCGAGTGCGTGCGTGAGTTTGGCGAAGCGAGGGAGCGCGGAGTGAATTGTTGTTGAGCAAGCGCGACATCGAGTGAGCGAGAGAGCGCGGGTGAAGCGAGCGAGTCGTCGATTCAGCCGTCGAATACTCGAGTGAGCAGGTGGTTAGGTGAGCGAGCAAGCGAGCGAGCCAGTGCGTGCTCGCTGTCAACGAGTCGGCGAGCAGATCATTGGGGTGGGGTAGGGGGGGGTAGCCCAGCGAGTGTCCACCATGGGCGAGCAGCCGCCTCGGGCGGAGCTCACGGCCGTCGAGGAGCTCCACCGGGCCGAGAGCGACGGACGCGCCACGCCGTCGTCTTTGAGCGCCTCCGCCGCCGCCAAAGACTCCGCGGGCGTCGCCGTCGACACCGCGGGGGTCCACGCGCTGCTCGAGCGACTCCTCAAGACGGTGGAGAGCGTGCAGGAGTCGCAGCTGAAGATGGAGCAGCGGCAGGGGGACATCGAGGGCACGGTGAAGTCCATCGAGGCGGAGGTGGAGGGCTTCTGCCGGGCGCACGCGGCCACGGCGGGCACGGTGAGGCAGGTGCTGGAGAAGGCGCGCAAAGTGAGCGCGAACGTCAAGGACGTGCGTGTCCGCCTCGACAAGCAGAGCCACGAGGTAAAGAAGCTGGAGGCCAACCACGCCGAGCTGATGAAGAGGAACAACTTCCGAATCATGGTCTACCAGGTGAGGGTGTTCTCCGGGGGCACGTGCGGAGGGGAGGGGCGGTGGGTGGGAGCGGTGCGCGGAGGCGGGGGTAAGGTGGGACAGGGGTGTTGGGATGCAAGGGGTGCTGAGGGGCGGGGGAACAGTGGGGGAGCAGGGACAGTCGGTAGGGCAGGGCGCTGAGAGAGATATTTGCGCCACCACAACCACCACTCACAGCAGCAACCTCGGTGTCGGTGATGCGAATGAGGTTTGACCCCAGTCATTGGGGCTTCAATGGGCCCCCGTACCACCTGCACATGGGCCCCGGGGAATAGACATCACCTCCGGCGCCAATGTTAACACTCTCTAGCGACCTGCACGCTTCACTCATAAACAAGATCAATAATCATTATGGGATTGATTTACCCAGAAAAGCCTCAGAGTCTTGCGGTTGCCTTTCAGAAGGGCCCTGCTACATTGCGACGAGAGTCCAATGCGTTGGATTTAGCGAGAGTTTGGGAGCACGTGGGAGGGAACCGGGAAAGCCGACAAGCCGGGGAGAGGAACGCTCCCAATAGATTCGCACAGATGTATTTAAGAAGCTCCATTGCTATGCTGCCAGCGGGTGGCCACGTGGTGGCTCTGGCTACAGACACAACCTGGCCAACTGGGGCCACGTCACCTCCATTCTCAAACCTCGCCACCATCAGCTCCATCACCCAACGGCATTCGTCTATAACTCTGTGGCCTTAAATTAAAAAGTGTAAACCGTACAGTCGTCTGTGACGTTACGGGCAATGCCCCTTCTTAGCAGTGCATGTCGCTTGACGAAGGATCATTGTCCGAAACGTTACTTATAACATTTCTATATTTTTCCCTTTAAGGCCGCTGTGTTTTTTTCACGAATGTGTTCAGTTTTTTTTGTATTGTTGTTTTATAATTGGGCACCAATGCCAACAACGCGGCAGCAGCAGCAGCACCACTGAATCATTTGGCGATTCAACACAGGGAGAGAGGGGGGAGTGGGGAGAGTTTCCCACCATGCGACTGCTAAATGGATCACGCCCTGGTTATAGAAAGCGACATACGTCGCACTGGAGCTGATGAGTGTTTCTCTAAATTTAACTCGAGCCACGCGGCCCCATTTCGCTCCTCCCCGGGGCCCAGGGTCCGAGAGGCCCAGGTTATTCACCCTCTCAGCGGCTCCAGATTCCGAATGGAATCCACGGACCGGGTTTTGTGGGAAACCGGCCGCGGGCAGGTGCATTGGAGAGTACACGGGCGCGCGCGTGTGTGCGTGCAAGTGCTAAGAGATGGAATTGGTGGCCCATGGAGTGGAAGAACGTTTAGTGGGAGCGAGATATTTGTGTGAAATGTAAGATGCCCATGTGCCTACATTTGTTTCATTAAGTACGTGCTAGCGACCTGCGATGACAGCGTGATTCACAAGCACGAGCATGCACACAACAATGTTGAACAGACAACGGCAAAGTGTGCGGAGAAAAACGTGGGAAGAGGCAACACGTTTGGAATTATATTGAGAGACAGAAAGAGGAGGGCTTTGATGCGATAACCTATGCAGGTTCGTAACATCATTCAACCCGATAATTTGTTTTTTACCCTTTTATCTGGCAAAAAAGAAAACTAACACATTTTTTTACAAGGAGTCATGTTTGTATAGACCACAACACCTGCAGTCATAATGCAAAAAAAAGCATAACTCTGATAATGTATGCACTGTCCTTGAAGTTGATTGCTCCACACCCGAGACAGCTTTCCTTAGAACCCCGAGCTCTCATACTCTGATGGTGCATTGTTTTTGAGTTGTGCGCCTTTTGGCGTCATCTGGTCCAACACCATGTGAGACTAGGCTCTAAGGAAAGCTGTCTCGGGTGTGGACCAATGAACTTCAAGGACAGTGCATACATTATCAGAGTTATGTTTTTTGTTTGCATTATGACTCCAGGTATTGTGGTCTATGCAAATATGACTCCTTGCAAAAAAGATGTCAGTTTTTTTGCCAGATAAAAGGGTAAAAAAACAATTATCATATTTTTCACTGGCAAATGAGGTTCCAATGGTGTAAATCATTCAACCCGTTCCAAGAGTTGGCTTCGACGTAATACGTCACGGCTGGATGGGACGATGGGCAGTGGTCAAGGGTAACAACGGAGTGGCAGCCGAGGAGTGGAGCGCGTCCGAGGTGGGCAGCTCACGTGCAGCGGACGCTCGGTGCACGATTAACAAAGAGGGGGTCGTGAGAGATGAAGGGCGTTTTGGGGTGGCCGTCATCCAGCAGTGGACTGACCATGGCTGCCGATTATGAATTATTTGGGTGACCAGCGCGCGTGAATTGGCTTGATGTGGTATTTTCATCCAGCAGTGGATTGACACAAAGGACAGTTGATAAAGCAACAACTTGTTTGAAGTTTGTTTTGTGTCGTCTTTGGACTATATATTTTTTTTGTAAATAACAAGTATGGGCGTGGCCCGGTCGTCCCTCCCTCCCGTCAGCCTGCCAGCAAAACTTTGTTCGACTATAGCAGGGGTCGGCAACCAAAATAACAAGAAGAGCCGTTTCTTTCCAATACGGGCTGCTTCTTGACGACATATCGTCAAGAAGCAGCCCGTAAAGAGCCGCATGCGGCTCCGGAGCCGTAGGTTGCCGACCCCTGGGCTATAGGATAAAAAACGGTCGACACCCTGCGTGGCTCTGGCAAGTGAAATGTCGGGATTGCTTTTATCAACTAATTATCTGCTGTGCGTTATTTGATATAAAAAAACTGTGTGGTCTAGACACGTGTGCACTTCATACAGATTGATAACCCTTATATATAGTCGGCGAGCGGTTGCGCAATGGTTATGAAACCGGTGACCCGATTCCAATTCGCGTCGATGCTCAACATCAGCAGCGAGTGACGTCTGAACCGCTATTGCCCCGTCTCACCAATCCACACTCACCTATCACTATCTCTAACCCTATCTCTAACCCTATCTCTAACTCGAACCCTCTCTCTAACCCTAACTCTACCCCTATCTCTAACTCTACCCCTATCTCTAGCCCTATCTCTAATTCTACCCCTATCTTTAACCCTAACTATACCCCTATCTCTACCCCTACCCCTCTCTCTCTAACCCTAACCCTATCCTTATCTCTAACTCTACCCTTATCTCTACCCCTACCCCTCTCTCTAACCCTAACTCTACCCCTATCTCTAACTCTAACCATATCTCTAACTCTACCCCTATCTCTACCCCTATCTCTAACTCTATCCGCTCCCCGTCCCCCACTCGAGCCCCCCGCCTCGTGCCGGCTCAGCGCTTTGATTGTTGTCTCTGTAAGCCCGCCCCCCCGCTCTGGGGGAGTGAGGGTGGTGGGGTGAGTGGGAGGCATTGGCAGCTCAACTCTGACGCCCTCGGGGCAGAGGTGGGGTTGGGGGGTAGGGTTGGGGAGTAGGGTGGGGGCGATGAAGGGGGGGGAGGGTGACGAGATGTTAACTACCTCGCCTGGTATGCAGCAGGTCGTGGGTTCGATCCCGACCCTGACGCCTGCTGTATATTTGGAGTTTGCGTGTCTCTCTCCCCCCGGTTTTTCCCTCCACATTTAGAAACACGCTTTGAGAGTATTTGGCTGCTATCAATTTCCACGTGATAAGCCACTTCGTTGAGCTATCATTTGTGAACCAGGTTGCTTCCGATAAAGAGCTACATAGCTCAGTGGGCCTGACCTGGTAAAATACAAAATAAAATCGTTTTAGTTGCGTGTGGGGTGGGAAGCACCAGGCGATGATCACTCTGTGATGCTGCTCGGCATGGACCACGCACGGCACGAACCGAAGGCACCTAGGAGAGCCGTACGGCAGCACCGCGAAAACCCACGCGGGCAGTCACGAGCGATGGTGATCTTAACGTTGGCTGGGACACGGGTGTTGGTGGTGGTTTTGGTGGTGCCATTGGTGATGGTGGCCCTTACCGCAGCCCAAATTTGAACGGAGGGCGTGAGAGATGGGACGTGGGATCTGTGACCGGGGTAGTGAGGCTTAGTACCTTGAAACTGGAATCTGAACCTGGAATTTGGTTCTGAAATATGGAACCCAAAATCTCGATCCCGGGGTTTCAATTCGAGTCAGGTGATTCCCGCTCCTGCCATCTACACACAGCACCTTCCTCCCCACGTCCTGAGGATCATGACGATTCAACAAGTGATGATGACGAGCAACCAAAGCAATCTGTGTAACGTGCGCGCACGCTCTGTGTGTTTCAGGAGGGCTCCGACGCCCCGATCTCCATCGCGACGAGCAGCAAACGCTCCAAGTCTGAGCTGGCCGCAGGTGGAGCAGCCGCCGCTGCCGCAGGCGGAGCCACCGGCTGGAGCCGGCGGAGCGGAGCCGCGAAACGGAGCCGAGGCGCCGGCGTCGGAGGCGTCTCCCAAAGAGATCGTGGACGAGGCGACCAACCCGTTCGAGGCGGACACGGAGGCGCTCAACCTCTCGTCGGACGAGGACGTGGAGATGATCGAGGAGGTGGAGTCGACGGCGTCGAAGCTGCGCCGGACCGGCAAGAAGCGCGTGGAGAGCATCAGGAAGGCGTTCTCTCGGGAGAACTTCGAGAAGAAGGTGAACAGGATCGTGTCGCCCGAGAAGCGCGAGAAGATCAAGAGCACGTTCACGCACCGCCGCAAGGCGTCGGCGGACGCGGGCGAGCCGCACGGCGGGGGCGAGCCGTCCTCGGCGGGCGACGCCTCGGCCGGGGAGGCTCCGTCCACTCCGGGGGAGACGCGGCGGGAGGACGACGACAAGGTCGAGGCGCGGGACGCTCACGGGGTGGCGGCCGAGGTCCCGGCGGACCTGGCCGCCCCGGGGACGCCGTCGTCCTCCACGGCGTCGCAGCGCTCGTCCAGCATGAAGCGCATGGAGAGCATGAAGAAGGCCATGAGTCGCGAGAACATCGAGAAGAAGGTGGACACGCTGGGCAGGAAGATCGTGCCGCCCGAGAAGCGCGACAAGATCAAGAAGTCGCTGACGCCCGACCACAAGAAGGGCGCGCGCTCCAACACCTCGTCCTTCAAGGTGCCGCCCTTCAGCTTCACCGTCAAGAAGTTCAGGGAGGGCGACGCCGTAGAGGTGGAGGATTTCGAGATCGACCCCAACAACGTGGAGATCCTGAGTGGCAGCGAGGCGCTGCCCGACGACCACGGCCACCGCGTGGAGACCCCGCCGCCCGACTCCCAGGAGCCGCACAGCGAGGCGGGGCCACCGACCTTCGCGGTTCGGATCGCGCCGCCGGCGCCGGGCGGAGGCGACGAGGCTCCGGCGGCGCTCGCCTCCGTGGAGCAGAAGGCGTGAGAGGAGGCGCCGGCGCTGAGGCGGAGGAGACGGAGCGAGAGACGTTGACCTGGGTCGCGCGACGCGGCGTGGCCGTCAGGGGAATCCGTGGCGCGCTCGGGGTGGGGGGAGGGGGGCGTGTTTTGAGTGGTGTTTTGAGAATGACGTTAGAACTTGGGATCTGAGTGGATGAAGTGAACTGAGTCACGTGGCATGGAGGCATGGAGGAAGAGGTGGGGGGGGGGGATGAGGATCGCGGACGTGGATCGGGAGCCGTGGGAATTACATGAAGCGGCGGGATGGATCTGGAGCCGAAGCTGTTTGGATCACGCGTGGATCAGAGGGATGCGGGGATGGCATTAGCGGATGGGTTCAATCAGTCGGGATGAAACGGAACAGATGGGTTTATCAGAAAGTGAAAGAATCGCGTGGATTGAGATGGAGCTGAATGGATCGCCTGGGTCACGGGTGCCGTGGAGGATGACGTGGGTCAGAGCTGTGGATGTGGAACTGGGAGGCGAATCGCGTGGAGCAGATGGTTGGAGCTGAAGCCGAGTGGGTGACGTCGAGCAGGGGAGCGGCGCCGTGGAGATCACGCGGAGCGGATGGACAGAGATGAAGCTGTGGGACGAGGAGGGTGATGAGGACGAGGGAGAGTTTTGCGACGATTTACAAAATCCTTCGTCGGCATTAACGATCTCCGCATCGTTCGCTCGCTCGCTCGCTCGTGCGCGGAGGCTCAATCCGCCCGACCTATCGAGGCAAATTTTCGCTTCTGTCTCATTGCCGGCGGCCGCGGCGGCTCCTGCTCGTCTTTCATGTGCCTGCGAGCGCACATTGGCAAGCAGCGCACACGTCCTAGCAGAGTGTGAATCTCGCCAGGTGGACGGGGGGGGGGGGGTGGTGGTGCGGAGGCGAGCTGAGGGTTGCGGTGAGGGTAGTGGAGATGGTTTGTGGTGGGGGGTGTGGGGGAGCAGATATGGGTGCAGCACAACAGCCGCGGGGAGGGTTATGGGAGTCGGGGTGATGTAATGTTCACTGATGTGAAAATGAGCTTCCAAGGCTACGGGGCTACTCCGCTGAGCAAAAGCCAACAGGCTGGTGCAGGTGTGGCCCAGCACTCGTGCTGCGTGAGATTTATAAGCAAAAGTTCCGAGCAGTGAGCGATGGTGATCACGGCGCTGCTTTGTTTATAGGGATGATGGTGGTGGTGGAGGTGGTGGTGGAGGTTGGTGGAGGTTGATGGTTCAGTGTCGGCTCGCCATTAGGGGGCCGGTTGGAACCGGGCGCCACTCGAGGAAGACTACAAAAACAACACAACAACAATAACAGTACAACAACAACACAACTACGACAAGACAACACCAACACAGAAAAATACAACAACACAACCTTTTCATGTATCTACGGGACCTGTATTGCCAGTATCAAATGGTGAAATGAGAAGAATAGGCTTTTAGCCCCTTCATGGCCAATACCGCAGGAGGCGTTCAGATGTTCAAACACCAATAGACACCGAGTCTGCATGAGCCACACACGTACGCGTGGCGACACGTAAAAACAAGCGTGCTCTGATAATATGGGCATTTTCTTGGTTCTTTCGGTAAAGTCACGTAGAAGGGAAGTAATACAATAATAAAAATAAAACATAATAAAATAATTCTCACCTGAGGACGGCTGCTTGCGTTGTGGCCGAAACGTCGTGAGAATTATTTTATTATGTTTTATTTTTATTATTTTATTACTTCCCTTCTACGTGACTTTACCGAAAGAACCAAGAAGATGAATCCCTGCAGTCACGAAAGCTTTAAATCGAAATTTAATATGGGCATTGTCTTTGAAACTGATTGGCCTACTACAGCAGAGACCAGCCTCCTCCATTGCCTTGTCCCACCGCCAGTGTTAGACCAGAGAACGCGAACAGGCGAACAGTACAAAGGCAATGCACGTATCAAAGCAACAACAACAACAAATGAAGATTCAACAACAGCAACAATAATAATGATGGTAGCTTCAGGTTGAGCAGTGAAACCTACGGGCCTTTATTTATGCCAAAATCAAAATGATGAAACAAGAAGAATAATTTTTACCCTCTCCGACTTCCCTGGTTGTAATCGTGAACACACTGAACTTTCAGGGACAGTTAGATTCGATCTTCGGGCGCGGCACTTGAAACAATGGTGCCAGTTTCTTAAATCAGCCCCCCCCACCCACCACCGCTAAGCCCAGCCCCGCCCCTTGGTAGCAGTAGGGGTGGATTCACCACAGCAGATCGGGCAGGTGGGGTAAAGTGTGGGTAGCCCCACCTCTTCCAAGACGTCTGGTCTAGCACGGTTGTCTACGTACGGTGCGACAGAAGTTCAGCGTACATACATTATCAGCCACCGTACGTGATACTGGCCGGATGAAGACCTATCCGTGCTGTGATCATCTCTCACGCTCCTGCGACACAACAAGTTCAGCATACATACATGGTCAGCGTGAAAGAGGAGACCAAATACCCTCTATAGTAGTAGAGGCCCTTCTGGCAGCAGTGGTGCGAGCAAGGCTGCATCTTTATCCTTTACAACCCCCACGTACTGCCCCCCCCCCCCCCACCGATTCCTCTCCCACCTACCCCCACCACCCCCCGAGAGAATCTTTACCCAACCAACAATCTACTTGCCCACCAGCCGCCACTGATGATGATTGTGATGGAGTTCATTTACCCCGGAACGCCTCGACTGAGTCTCAAAACTAGTTCTCAAGAGGGTCCCTGCGACAATGGGACATTTCTCTTCTTCTTGGTTCTTTCGGTAAAGTCACGTAGAAGGGAAGTAATAAAATAATAAAAATAAAACATAATAAAATAATTCTCACGACGTTTCGGCTACAACGCAAGCAGCCGTCTTCAGGTGAAGAATGAGACACTGCCAAGCTAGGAGCTTATATATAAGCTGGGTTGGAGGTGGAAGAGCGCCTTAACAAAAAGAAAAATGGGACATTTCTTTTGTAAGCTAATCGCGTTTGGTTTATGTGTGTGTGTGTTGGGGTGGGGGGAGTGGGACCCCGGGAGAAACCCCACCACGCATACGTGGAGGGTGACACTCGGACAGCTGAGCAGGCGAGTTCACGAAACCCACTGTGCTGCGCTGCGCGTTTTCATGGCCACCTCGCAGCTCAGCGGGTTTGTAAATCTCACCGATCTTTGCGTGATCCACCGACCCTTAGGCTCCAAAGTGCTTAGATCGCCGACGCGAATCGCTGCCACGCAAAGCCTCAATGAGTCTCAATACCCGTTAGTGTAGAGCAGTGCTTCTTAAGCTTGACTGCAGCCTTGCATCCCTTTGGTGCTCAATCGTTCAAACAATGTGTAAAGTTGATCAATACATCGGAGGTTGATGAAACAAAGTCAGTTGTTCTTACGTGCCAGTGCTTAATTTGTGTTTTCGATTATTTACCTTTAAAAAACAAATCTGGCCGTGTCTCGCATCCCCCAGAAAGGGCATCTCCAGTGGGTGCGAGATGCGTGCACCCCAGGTTGAGAACAAGAAGAATAAGAACCACTCACTGGTTTAGAGAGAGTGTCCTCGCCAACAACATCTGGTAACACAGCAGCACTTATTTTTTAAACAAGTCTGACTCTGCTGATGAGACCGAGAAGGTTGAAACCGCTCCAGAGATTGTTTAAACAAAATGCTGCTGGATGATATTGGTCTGTAAAGCCAATAGGCCGATGGGCTCCAACGAGTTTTTATTTTCTACGTGCAGATAGTACGGGGCCTTGCTTCTGTTTACTTTCCCCTTCTCAGGAGGGTCCTGCTATTGATGTTTGGCTGCTTGCTTTATTGAGTGTGGGTTTTTCGTGATGTTAATAAAAGTGTAAGGGCAGCACCTGTCACTATTAATCGTCCCCCAGCGCGCAACTTGTATCGTCCACCCATCACCGAGCACCTGCGTTGCGTCACGCGGTTTGGACTATTCCAATGCGATGATGGGGGGAGTGGAGGGGCGGAGTGTGTTCACCTCTCCTCCCTGACCATCCCGTGAGCATCAGAACATCAAACAACATAGCACCATCATGGGACCTCCTTTGCCAGTACCAAAATATACTAATAGGGGTTTTCTCCTTTTTTCTGGCAACAAAACTGACACCTTTTGCAAGGAATCATGCTTACATTAACCACAATACTTGCAGTCAAATGCAAAAAAAAGGAGAAAAACCCTATTACTGTAGTATATTTTGGTACTGGCAAAGAGGTCCCATTATGTAGCTGCTCACCCCGAGCTCTCATTACTCTGATAGTGCGTTGTCTTTGAACTGTGCGCCTTTTGGCGTCATCTGGTCGAACACCATATGAGACTAGGCTCTAAAGAAAGCTGTCTCTGGTGTAGACCAATCAGTTTCAAAGACAATGCATAAATTATCAGAGTATTGTTTTTTGTTTGCATTTGACTGCAAGTATTGTGGTTAATGTAAGCATGATTCCTTGCAAAAGGTGTCAGTTTTGTTGCCAGAAAAAAGGGGAAAACCCCTATTAGTAACATAGCACCATTTAAGCCGACACCAATTGCTATACTATAATGGACGAACGTGCCCCCCGCCACGATAACGTGGAATATCCATCATTTTGCTCAGGGCCACCAGCAGAGATGATGATCACCGTGAGAATCTTAAGAGATGTATATTTCTGGCCGACTTCGACTCAGACCGTCATCCTCTGGGGGCTCGATGAATCCATTAGGGCTTTGTACGAGAAGTCATAACCGGTTTCATCCAGCACGGTCGCGACACGTGGCCTTCATCCAGCAGTGTCGCGTGACCACAGCGGTCGGGGTGCAGAACGCGTCCCAGACGACGACACAGGTGGCGATGATGATGACGATGAGATCAACTCGTGCGCAAGTGCTGCGTGCATTACCGCATGGCGGGTTCGTGTAAGAAGATAGGTGTCGGCTTTGGCATCCGGCAGTGGATAGACCATAGCTGATGACGATGTCGATGTCTCGTATGCGCAACGGAGGCTCGGCTTTGCTTGGCTGTCTGTAAGATAAGCAGCGGCGCGCTGTCATGTCCAACCACGGCCCTCCCTGCAGCTCGCGTACGGTCTGCATGGGGTCGCGTGACCCCCTCCGACCCCTGTAATCGTCCCGTCTTCCCCTGATCCCG